AATATAATTATCAATGGAATGAAGGTTAAAGTTGTAGCAAATTGAAGGGAAAGATAATGAAAATAATAACTTTGATCAGGTTTGTGATGATGATTTGTTATCTTCAAATGTCTTTCCCAGAACTGCAACTAAACATATCAAAGTTCAATTGTTGATAAATTGTCCATTTGTAATGGAAACAAGTGTGTAATTAACGGATCAGTTTGGGATTTTGTTTCGTCTCTCAGTTGGGCCAAAATTGGTTCGAATTTAAAAAGGATTGGAAATTTTTCTTACCGTGAATAACAAGTTTGAACCAAATGAAAGAGCTGGTAATTGGGTTAATTTGTTGTTTCCCAGTAAAATTAGCTGCAAGTTTCTCATTCCGAAAAATGCTCCTGGCTCAAGAGTTTCAATTTCATTGTCTGATAAATCAATTGCAGACAATTTGGTGGCCAAAGAAAAGCTGTTGGCTGGAATGGTCGTCAGCTTGTTGTGTGATAGAGTCAATTTTTCAAGCTGTTCCATCAAACCCAATTCTGCATTTATATTGAAACAGGGAATGAAAAGAGAAATTTTGATCAATTAATTGAATTAAAAAATAGAGAATACAGGTAGTGCGATATTCGATTTTCTTTAGAGTTCGATAGACAGGAACAGTCGGAAGTAAAAGAATAGTTTGGCTGCTTATTTGACAATCATTTTATTCGACTGCCATCTATTGAAGAAAAATGTTCGCTCATCTTTATCTCTTCCTGTTACAAGCATGTTCTGAATGTTTTTCCAGAGTCATTTAGAGTCCACTGTGCGAAAAGTAACCATTGGCAAATCACTTATGCGAGGAATCGATTGATATAAGCATGTTACGCCAAATCAGTATTCAATTTTTTACAGTTATTTTACAGTATTCAAGCTATTAATCAAGTTGACGTATTGCCAGCTTTACAGATTTAACTCAAATTTTCATGAACTAAACTTATTCACTTTTTAATTTAAAATCGAAGGGAGGATTTATTGCTTCGATTGTTTGAAAGTTGTGCCAGTAGTTTAATGTTGATTTGACTATTGGATAAAATTGAAAAACTCAGGTGCTACAACATGTTTTATACCAATCTATTCCTAGAAATAAAGATTGCATTTGAAAAAAACTTGCTACATTTTTTATCTTTCAGATGGGTCTTTCAATGGAAATAAAGATTAGTGCAAGAGTGTTGGGAAAATTCACTTGAATTACGACGATTTGACTGTATTTATCAGGGTTTCGAGTACAAACACAAATTGCTAACTTACTTTGAAACGTTAATTTAGATAGAATTTTCTTCAGTTCAAGTTTCATAATCAGTTGCCATTGTAAAGATAGAGTAATAAATGAAGTTTCTCATGAACTTAATCGTGAATATCTCATAGTGACAGCATATAAATCAGGCCTAGTTAATATTTCAGTAAATAAGCTATGAAACTAAATTATGATTTTCGAGTGATCTTTTTATTGCGAAGCTAAAATTTGTTCAATTCCCAATACTTTTGCAGTAAGCTTCAGCTTTCATCTGAACTGCACTCAAGCGTTTACCCTGCTCGTACGCGTGCCTTCAACTTTTTTCTCATGTCCTAAGAAGAAATCGAGAAGTATGGATGATTAAAAGCCTTTTGGTAGTCAGTCTAATCGCAATGGTTAATCATTTACTACATCTTTTGAGATACGAATCCTGGTTGACAAAGGTATATCATATGATTATAAGGCTAAAAGACGTGAATTGTTTTTATCCACCGTTCAGGTCTGATTTCAAGCCTTGTGATAGCTTTTCTGAAATCATGTTAAAGATTATTTCCATTAGCAAATGTCAGAGTCAGTTGAGGAACTGCTGTTGAACAGGCGTGTTTCAGACTATTCATTCATGCAAATTCAGTTTTTTTCACACTAGAAATGACGAAATATGTTGACATAATTGAATAATAATCAGACTAAATCAGGTCACAAAACTGGAGCTAAGAAACTCGAATCTGACTGAAATTGCGATTTTCACTTTAAACTCGTATTTTGCAGCCAAAACTCAAATTTTCTTTTTCTTCTTTACTTTCTATTTGATATTTTCAAAAGTCATCGAAGTCAGTCGATATATTCATCGATCGAGTTAACTTTCTTTTTTCAGCGATCGACTAAGTCGCTTCATTTGTGCTGTAAATTTTTAAATAACTCTTACCATTAAAGGGAAAAGACTTGATCTTGTTTCGGTGGAGGCTAATTTGTTTAACAATCTCATATGAATCAGTGAAAGCGCCTTCTTCAACTGTTTCAATTTCATTTTCTTCAATGAAAAAGGATTGAATTCGTAAACCATTAAAGATGTTTCGAGTTAAATTATAGATAGAGTTTTGAGTAATCCAAACAGACCGGTAAGCATTGTATCCATTTGGTACTTTAAACACTTGACTCAACTTTTGTTCATCCAATGAGTTGAAGCAGGAGATTCCCTCACGATCACAATGGCATGGTTCAATCGACTTGGGATCAGGACAATCAGCAGAATCTGGTTCACAATGTACTGAAACGAAAACTAAACAAAGTGAACAAATGAGCAAAAAATTGTTGAACATGATGAGCTGAAAAGAGATTTTCTAAAAGTTCGAAAGCAAAAAACTGTAAAATGCTAATGTTGAAAGTGTTCATCTTTTGCTCTTCCAATTGTCTTTTAAACAATTGATTATCAATAAAATGATCAATCCATTGCGGATCTAAATAATAATTCACGGAATGAGATTGAGATTAGATTAGTCGATTGAAGCTCATTTCTGGTTCATATTTGTTCCAATCAATTTGATAACATTGAAGTAATCAAAGGTGATCAAAAATTAGATTAATATCAACACAATGAAAATAATTATTAGTTGAAGCAATTTAACATTTTCCTTTCCCTCCTTGTAATCATCATTATAAAGACAACATTATTTTCAGTGTTTTGTTGAGCTTGATTGTCTCGTTGCTTAATTACTAATTAACCAGTTGTGATTAACCGTTTGGAAATGAACAACCATGAAATTAACGAAGACGAAAATATTTTTCTCATTAACTCTCGATCTACTGGTCTGTAGTTAATAATGAGATAAACATGTTTCAACTCTTGTTCTCACATTAGGACATTTAATTACATCCAGAGGTTGTCTACATGAAACTCTTAAAATTGCATGATGTTCAGTGAACACTTTTACCAGTAGACAATCATTGCGTAAACCACGTAAG